CTGGGATTTGTCTCTCCCCATACCACAAAGAACTGGCCAATTGAATTTGTCACATTGCTTAGACTCTTTCACAAGAAAGGAAACTCTGGATGGAGATGAAAAACCAACGTGTTCGTTGTTCGTAAAATGAAAAAAAAATGTACAAAGTCCTTATCAATCTATAAGTTTTCCCGTATTTTAGTAATTGGTGATTCTACAAAAATCACTTCTAATAGTTCTTCACTAATTGGTTATGTGTTATCAACATAGAGTAATCTTGTATTCACCATGAGCCTAAGATTGCTGATCAATTAATAATTTCCGTCACTATACAAAATAAAAATAGTGATAAAAATATTCACACCTTTTTTCACACGAAGATTAACTGATGAGTATCAACTTAAGGATGATTGAATGTGAATGTGAATTTGCCATAATATTGAATCAAAGTGTACAATAATTTTAAATGAGATAGCATCCATTATCGAAATCAAAAACAAACAAAATCAGGTTCCTTGGTACGAAAAAGAAATAAAATCACTTTCTAAACAAAGAGGCAATAAAAAATTCAGAAAAAAGACTAGTGCCAACAGGAGTTGTGGGATAAATATAAATAAAAAAGAAACGAGGTTGTTGATTTATTGAAAATATTTGAAAAGATTCTCTCCAACGGAAAGATTCAGGGGCAAATTGAATGTTTCTATTGACTTTTCTTCAGATGAATTAGATATGAGCAATTATGCAGCAGACAATGTGGCTCCTTGTCGTTATAATCTATATGCACTTTCAAATCACAGTGGGGCCACTTACAACGGGCATTACACAACATATTGCAGACATCCATATAGTGGCACATGCAGTGGCGGCACAAGACCTGAATGTAATCTGGGCAAGGTACATTACGTGAGGCCCTCTGATGGTGCAAGAAGAAGTGTTTATGAAATTAAAGAAACATTTGAAATTGGTCAATTTTCTTTTCATTAAAAGCCACTTTCCAGAACGTTCACTCATGTATTTTTTTGGGACATTGAACAACAAAATTAAAAAACAAAACCCGACTCAAAATTAAAATAAAAACATGTCTGGGTCGCCATATCGAAACCCCAGTCAAAGTCACTGACACGGCAGCTATTTTCTCATTGAGATCTTCAAAAGGAGCCCAAACACGTCACGTCTGCTATAAGTTGCCGAGGAGTTAGTCTTTTGCAGACTGTTCTGGTTGCAACATCAAGTCAAAGTAAAAATGTTATTGTACATACTCTTGAAAATGTCGAATTTTTATCTCGATCACTCAATTGGATGTAAGTTCAACTATAATTTCTAATCATAATCTTGGAAACAAGCTGGTAACCTTCTTAACGACTGTTGCCATTTTCATAAAACATATCTAAGAACCATCCCGACAAAATAAGGCATTGAATAAAAAAACCGCATCAAAATCAGTCTACTAGTATAGGAGCTACAGTTCTACAGACAGAAACACAAGTATAATTCAAACTCATAACACCCCTCTTTTACGTCGAGAGTTGAAAATAAAAAAAAGAATGAATTAAAGAAACAAAAATTTTCTACTTTTGGTTTTACTGGACTTCCTAATTATCGGTTAGTAATTTGTCTTTGATGCTATATCTGCTTCAATGGATGAAACTGCCAAAGCTGAAAGTCTTTTTAGATTTTCCATAGGTAGAGGAAAGTGACCAAATATGGAAAACCATTTTGTTTCCGGAAGCTTGTATCTTGTCTGGGTGTAACAGCTTCAGTTAAAGGCGTAGACTTTCTTATTAGTCAGTGGGATATGCTTGAAGACTGGCAGTAAACAATTCTAAAGAAATGAAATTTAAACATTCAAGCCAGTCTCGAATATACCTACACAGTAGGTTGAATGGACTGACCCTATCAGAAAACAACTACTCCCCTGGCTAATACCACGAAGGGCGTTGGATTATATCCGTTTAAAGTTCATTTCTTTAGATTAAAGGCGTAGAGTTATCAGATGTTCTTTAATTGGCCATCGATGGTCCTTCACGTTGGTGACCTGATGACATTGATGTAACGTTGACTGTGCAACCATCTTCAACTGCATGTTGTTACACAGCAAGATAGTCGACCGTGGTGAAAATATTTTTCTTCGATGGCCATAAGACAGTTACACGAAATCCATCTGCTAAAATATTGCCAGTTTGCACTTTCAAACAAGCTCTGCCAAATAGCTCAACAACATCATAAGGGCTCAATGGTCGATTATTGTATTTAATCCACATGCGTATTTCTTCAATATAATAGGTTTTTAGTCAAAATGTAGTCTACCAAAAGATTTTCCCTAAGACAGTTTTCCTTCCGAGTATAGTAGCTACGGCTTCTTCCGGAAAAAATTATTTTTCTAATATGAACGAAACAAAATAGATCTTGCTACATCAAAGTGCTTTACAGCTCTCAAATAGCCCATCAGCTCTCAAATAGCCCATTTTTTTCTCTCTTACTAATAATATAGCTTCCGCCATATGCTCTGCATTCCATTCTTTTCGCTTTGTTTTCAAGTTGACACCCGCCATTCTGATAAAACACGAAAAAAATATCATTTAGAAAATTATCAAGTCAGCTGATACTCCAAGTACCAATTATGGAATAGTCCATATTTGGATTTTCCAACGATTTCAAACTGTGATTCAAATGTTTGTAATTATGAAAGTAATACCATCTAATGCCGCTAAAACATACAAAAGAACATCTAGACAGTCTCAAAAAGCTATGAAAACAATAATGTGTGCACTTTTTTCATCCAAATAGTCTTCGAAAATCGACATTAAAAACTGGTGATAGGTTTCTCCATTCAGAATTCCGTCAAATAAATGAGGACCCAAAATTCTATCTGTGTAAATTCCTGCCCACACGTTAATGCTAAATCCCACTTGAGGTCGAATTTCTCGTTATTTCTGTTAAATATCCCACAATATGTAAAAGTGATTCCATCTATCTTCTCATTGGCCAATTACAAAATTCTAATCGCCTTTCGTGATCACCTGGATGCAATTTTTGAGATATGTGTATTTTGTAACATTTTCAACCGCTTTTTTTAAGATGTCTCCAAGGAATTGTGTGACAAATATTCATTTCGGAAGAAATTTGACGTGTAGATTTTCCCGGGTTCATGTTTATCTGCAAATTAATATTTTTTATTGAAAAGGACACAATGTCTAACTTACCTCATACATACCTCATTTATCAAATTTTCTTTAGTTTCCTGGTCCATTCTATCTCCGTATTTTTTCTCGGCTTTTCAAATGAACCAAACTCGGTGAGATTTTGATCCAATAACTTGAACATAGTTCCATGTGGTTGTCGTCTTTCGGGATACAAATTTAAATACATTTCCGATGTTCTAACACTGTTTCTATCGTATTTGTAATACATTTATACCATATCTCTTTTTTCTGCATTCGTGAAAGCCATTTTTCGCCAAAAATTCAATGACTTGTACAATAACAAAATATCATTGCGTGTAACAAATTGAAAGTCAAATTTAGAAACATCAAAGTCAAAGCCTATTATAATAAGAATTAATTTTTGTCAATATCTCCAATTTTTCGATAAAGAATGATAACTTATGATACATCATTGAAAAGGTAAAATCTGGTTCTATTCAAAACAGAAAGAATCCAATGTAGCGCCCATACGAAAAAATAAAGTTGATGATGGTGGCCGGAAGACGAATCGTCGGAAATTTCTGTTTTTTTCGGATGTCTCCGGATATACTCGGAATTTCAAAACTTTTCTCAACGGCATATTGGTTCGGAACTTCATCTACAACTTTATTGCTAAGCTCCTACCCTTTCTTTCCGGTTTTGATTGAAACCTTGGAGGTTTTTGGATTCGCTTGTTAATTGGTAGAAGAATACTCAACTTCATCAATGACAGTAAAACGTTTTACTTTTTGATTCGAAGAATTACGTTTACTAGTTTAGTGATCCAATAATTTTTCTGAAGAAAGGTTAGTTGGTTGAATTTGAAATCAACAGCAATTGCCATTTCCAATTCTGAATTCCATAACAAAAATTTCTAATTAATTGAGAATTACCTAGTAAAAAATAATTTTCCTAGATCCCTTGTTAGAAAAATAATTAAAGAAAGAAGTTCCTCTTCCTAGCCTTCGTTGAACATAAAAAAGAATATGGACACATTTTTTATTTTGATCATCCAACTATTCTAGATGTTCAACCATATTTATCCAAAAGACTTTCAAGCGAAATGATACATATCCTGAAATGCGATAGTGTTAACACTAAAAGAGATGTCGATGGCTTTAATACAGCATATTTCAATTTGATATGTAAAATACCTGAATGATTTATCCTTTTTTCTTTCTGTCATTGATTAAAAAACAAACACCACCTTATCAGAATCACAGATAAAACCATTCGTCTGTTTCATGTCGTTTCGTGTTGGTGTTGTCTCGGTGTTTTTTTATTTTAATGTATCTAATATGTGTGATAGTTTTGAAAATAGTAATATTATCAACACGAAGAAACTACTTTTCGGTGAGTAATTTGATTAAGAACTTATTATTTCTTGTGAAAGTGAAACGATAATTATCGTATAAGTTTTGTGGAAGGTATGTTTATAAAAATTCATTGCTACAGAGCCCTGAAGCATAATTTAATTAAATTCCAAACGTCGGTACAAAACAATTGTTTTTTGATTGTTTAAAAATTGATCCAGTTACCCAACCAACCTTTCTTCAGCCAAATAATTACTATCGCCAGTTCTAGCCGTATAGATGGAAAATAATTGTAGCAAAATCAATGCAACATTTCTTGCCAGTGTGTAGGACGAGTTCCTAGAATTAAATTGTTTCCATTATAGTTACATTAAGAAGTTCATGCGCGACTCACAACGTTGCTTTTATCCTTTAGAAACGCCTCTAACGAATATAGAAAATATCATTGAATATCAAGAAAAAATCATCGATTTCTGAATAACTTTCGCTGTTTGATAAATATATTAATAATTCAATATTGTTTCAGTGCAACCTACATGAAAAAGAATTCGCCATCGGCTCACTCTGCGCCCCTCTGTGCCTCACGAAAGATATCCATTCCTTAACATGTCACTCATTTCAAGCCACGAAAGAAGCAGTCTTCAGCGCCGAGTGGCACAATATCCGCTTGGTGTTCAAATCAGTGCCTAGAGATGTCCAAGCCATTCATTGGTACGACAACGGTGTCCTTAAATATCCTACAGAAAAGGAATTCTTGACCACCATCAGAACAATAGTGAAGAATAAATTAAATCTTACACTTGCCTATGATACAGCTCTGAGATTGTCTAGACTGAAGCCCAGTTATGAAGAAAAAAACAAACAGAAAAGGCAGAGGGAAATGGATAATTTATGGGTACTTCTTCAAGACAACGAATATTTGCTGTCAGCATTGTTCACTGATAAAGATGTATTTCCACAACTTCTTGGTACTTGTGGTCCTTATTTTGCTGTGGAGTATCTAGAACCAATAACCGACATTTCATCGCTAATAACGGTGACTGACAGTAGAGAAAACTGGGGAAAACGTCTTAGACTAGCTGTGCAAATTCTGGATCTTATTGAGGAGCTAGAGACTGGTTTCCGCGAACCTTTTCATCTTTGTGACATCAAAATGCAACACTTCGGTCTTGTCAAGGAGGGCACTAAATTGAAGTTTATCGATCTAGATGGGGTTCTACCCAAATCAGTAGTGGACTCCATTATAAAAGAGGTAACTTACTGTAGAAATGACGGCGACTGTGATTTCTTCGATTGTCGTTCCAAATGCGACAAAAACAACAAATGTTTTAGTTTTGTAGCTAATAACAACTTACAAATGGTTTGTGAGAAATTATTTCTTGGCTGGAGAATGTCGAATACAGTGATAGTGCCTGGATTACTAATGTCTCAACATACTCCGGCTGAGCTGGCATTGATTCTGCGACAATGTGCTAATCCAGAGAGTGAAGAGGGAATACCCAGAACGAGTCCAGATTCTGATATCAAAAAGAGACTTTATACCATTCTTTCTGAGATGGAACAAACTATTAACAATGATTTTCTATAACGAATGTTTACATATGAATATAGACTGTTGGGTTTTTCTTGTGCTCTGAAATAAATATTTCAAACGTTATTTATTTTCACAAATCACTTTTTACATTTATAGTCCATGCACTCTATGTTTGGTATTTACTTTCCACAATCTGAAAAAATAAAAGCTGAATCAATAAAGTATCTGCTGAAGTGTAGTAAAGGGCAAATTGAAAAGTTAACCCCGAAAAGTTACTGCGTAATATAAACTACTGGAAAGTCCAATTAGTCAGTAACTTATATTCATAAATTCTGTCTACAAATTGAAAAATAGATGTCAATGTCACTGTCAACATCTTTTTGTGATTCCTGTTGCAAATCTTTTAAGAATTCTTTTGGTTTGTATAGTCTGGTTCGCATGTACTTGATTTAGCTCTTTTTGGAGACATTTTTCAGCCCTGTTCAAAAATTACGACCAAGGTGTCATTCGATTCGTATTTTTGCCT